CAGGGTGAATACAGTTATGCCACCAGCTGAGCTTTCTGATTTTGAGGGGGGTTAATAAGTAACCAGCTGAAATGTCCTTCATTCTCATCACGTCAGTAAATACATGTTGCTTAAGTGTTCTATTTTCTCAGGAAAAGTAAACTAAGTGTGCAATTGGTACAATTACAGAAGTTATATTCAGGCCCTGGCAAGCACTACAGCAATACAAGAAAAAAAAATTTTCTGTTTATTTTTATTAAGGCCCATCTACTTCCTAGCCCTAATTTTTCTCATTTCTCAGATATTCCTCCTTTATTTTTAATGACGTGTGTTTTCCTGTATTTTGCTCCCCTCCTTCCTTTTCCATGAACTGCCTTTCTTTTTCCCTTACTTTCTTTTTTCTCGTACCCCTTTACCTCAGCTATCCAGCAAGTAAGTATTTGCTAAATATTTCAAAGTCGTATAGAACTTGCCCAAGTTGTGTGGCTCCCTTTCCTGTCAAGGACATCCTGCTAAAGTCACCTACCTCGTTTTTCCCCCTGGAAATGCTCACGCTTGCTGTTGTTCCTACAGCAAAGCCCAGAACAGATGGAAAACAGACTTCTTCCTCAGCCGTGAGGATTCAAAATATAAGTATTAATATACACTGGTATGCTAGATTTTTAAAGCTGTCACATGCAGCATCTTGTATAAAACTAGCTCACGAAGCTGGTAACGCAGGGGTTTATTGGCAAGGAGGCTGCGGCTCAGAGCTGTTAACTGAGTCACCAGGACCACATGGCTCCATCGGGACTGGCACCCAGGTGTCCCCCAGTCCTCCTGACTGGTCCGGTCAGTTTTCTGTTTGTTTGTTTTTTCCCTCAATCTTGTTTTCCCTTTCCACAAGAAGAGAAGGCTCTGTCTCAGTGAAAGGGGATTTTAATAAAACTGTCCCTCGTTTTCTGTGGTTGTCCTGCAAGTGGTGGCCCTGCCCAGAGCAGCACCCCTCACCCACATTCTTGGGCGTCGACCTGCGCATCCTGCAGTCCCTCTGGGTCACCCCTTCTCTCTCCACAAAGCTCGACCTGTCCCCTTTCGTTTGCTGCTCCCACTCGGCATTTACAGAAGCGACCTTCCCTTTCAACTTGCTCAGGTCTCTCTCCTCTTAAACAAATCTTCCTCTCGCCGGGGCATCTCTGCCAAATACTGCCCTGTCGCTTGTCTCCCCTTCAAACTCTGTGAAGCCGGCTCCGGTTCGTCACATCCCCCCACTTCTTAGCAAGTTGCGATTAAGCCTCTGCCTGCATGGATACTGAAATAGCCGGATCCCGATACTCATGTCCCCAAATCTATCAGAAAAATTACCCATCTATTATTTGATTTCACAGTGGCATTTGACATGAATGTCCGGGAATTTAGCAACCGCAACCTTTATAGATCATCTTTGTAATTTATATGAGGCATCAAATGAATGCTATTATCCTCAATCACTTCTATATTAAGCAATTAATCTTTCAAATAAATGTTCAGTTATTTCTGGCTTCTTAAAAAAGACTTAAATTCTGTTATATTTTTCATGGATACATTATAAAATCATAAATCTTTTTTAATATTGTTTTTTCAATTTTGTATGCTATTAACATCGATGCCTTGGCATGAAGTTACAATCACTCTGAACTAGTAAAAATCTTCTGAGTCTTCTCCTATGCAAATGGTCCCTTCATTGGGACGTAGAGACCCCATGACCTCCTGCCTGGGTTCTTCCCTCTCTGGCTGGTCCTTCTTGGTCCATTTTGGTGTCCCCGCCCGTCACCTTGTGGGTGACCCCTGTGACTCTGTCTTGGGCTCTTTCCTCTTTTAATCAACATATTCTGCATGGGTTTTATCATCCATTTCCACGGCATCGGGTCTCCCAATAAATCTCCATCAGCACGCCAGATCTCAGTAAATTGTTAGCATTCAGACTGCTTTAACTTTAACCTACAATAAGATAATTTGTGCATTTTTAATAGAAAGTTCACAATGTAAAACTATAGTCACATTTTCACAATGTAACTTCTGTATTATGCCCTGGGACACTCACAGCTAAGAACAGAGATAATCAAGATAATGAAAGAGAAAGTTAGGATACAGGTTTTGCTGCTCTAACAAACAGAGCTCAAAATACAAAGCCTTAACTACGAGAACGTATTTCTCTCACGTGAAAGTCCAGTTAGAGTAGCCTGTGGATGACTCAGGAACTCAAACTGGTTCCTGATCATTATTCCCCCGTCCCCCACACATGGCTTCCATTTCATAGTGTACAATAGAAGCTCGGACGCAGTGATCATGCCCACATTCCAGCCAGGGTAAGGAAGAAAGAGGAAGCACAGGAGCTGACCCTTCGAGTCATAAACTGTAAGTCGCAGGCTGGCCGATTAGCTCAGTTGATTACAGCGTGATGCTGATAACACCAAGGTCCAGGGTTTGATCCCTGAACTGGCCAGCTGCCAAAAAATAAATAAATAAATTTTAAAAATAAAATGAAGATAAATCATAAACTGAAAGTTGCATATTTCACTTCTACTCACACTCCAGTCACCAGAATGCAGCTTCAAAGGAGAAGGCTGGAAAATAAAAGTCATTAACTAGGCAGTCTGTGCACAGCAAAAACTCGGGAGCTCTATTATTAAAGCAGAATTGGGGAAACAGTAACGGGAAACACCCAACAGTCTCTGCAGCGTGTATGTGAAACAGATGTTTCCAAATGAGTATTTTCACTTACTGCGTGTAAATACACTGTATTTTCTATTTTATTATATTCTATTTCATTTTTTTTAAATCCTGGTCATTACTCATAGATCATATCATAACTCACTATAGATGATGACCCATAATTTGAAAAACATTGCTCTAAACTTATTATGTCCAATACGTAGCCACTAGACACACGGAACTGTTAAACACTTGACATTCGGCTCGTCTAAATTGATCTGTGCGGTAAGTATAAAATCCACACCAGGTTGCAAAGACTAGCCACATATCTCATTAGCATTTTGTACATTGGCTAAATGTTGAAATGATAATATTTTGGATATATTGAGTTAAATAAAACACATTACTAATTTAATTTAATCTGTTGTCCTTTTTTTAATGTGGATACTAGACAGTTTTAAATTACATAGGAGGCTCACGTTATGTTTCTATTAGACTACACTGCTGCAAGCTCTAGATTCAAATGTCAAACTCCCTATGAATAATAATAACTGAATATCCCACAAGCACTTTTTAAAACTATACTTTTTATTTTCCCAGCCCTCAGCCCTTCTGTCCTCCTTCTGCTCCCCCCAGTCTGTGTTTCCTCTGTTTCACTCACTCAAAGGCAGCACAATCTACTCAGTGACCAGCCAGAAAAACTGAAAGGCATATTTTCCTTTATTCCTTGTACTCATACATTCACCGAGCACCATAATTTTACCCCTTAAATATGATATAAATTTACTACCTCTTTCCAATCCCATCATGAATACGCTGGTTCAAAATACCATCAGCTCTCGCCTATGCCATTACACCAACTCCTAACTGGTCTCCCTCTGCCTCCTTCCAGCCAGTCTTTCAAAATTCAGTGAAAGTGATCTTTGCAGGAAGCAAATCTGAGGTCAGTCTATTGATTACTCCTCCACGTAAGTTAATATGGCCAACAAGCTCCTTTCTGACTTGAAGCCAGCTCTCAATCACCACTCTTCTAAGTGTACAGGCGCTTCCTCCATGCCAAACAGTGATCATTATACTGATTGTGCCATGATTGTTCTCACCGCCTGGGCCTTTGCATATGTCATTCCCGAGACTTATGATGCAGTTTTCATCTCCTTCCTCCTCTGACTAACCACTGCTTATATTCAGAGCTTAATTTACACTTTGCTTTCATCCGAATTTCCTTTCCAAGGCCCCAAGTCTGGGTTGTGTGCCATTTTATGTGCTCCCAGAGCATTATGAACTTCTCCAATAATAATGTTTGCCTACTGTATTTTTATTGCTTCTCTGTGTGTGTGTGTGTGTGTGTGTGTATTTACCCCCTATAAGAGCATAAGAACTTTTACTGCATATCTGTTTCTACTTACTCACCCATTCTATCTCTAGGATATTGCATGGTGTTTAGCCCTAACAGGATCAATAAACACTTACAAAACAACCAAATAGCTGCACAAACAAATGGATGGATGAATGAATGGACAGATGAATGGATTAATGAAATTCTTTATGTGACTTAAAGATTGGTAAGAAGTATCATATTCAGAACGCAGTAAGAAAGTTTGATTGGATAGCAGATGGTAAAGGCATTTGGGATCCTCATTAGGCACCGTAGGGCAAAGCTTGTTTTCAAGGTCCTGTTACTTCTCCTTTCATCTTATTACTTCATTAAAACAGGAAACTCTTTTCTATTATCATTCTTCCAGAGCCTGGCTCTTCATCTTCAAACCAGTAATATGCATAAGATCAAAACTTAACTAGCTTAATACAATATGATCCATAAAGACTACTGAATTCTGAAGCAGCTTCAACATTTAAGGAAGGCATATGGAATTGAAGACTTGCAGGCACACCGACTTGTAGTGAAATATCTATTTTGAGCCTGCCCAGTATTGCTTAAATTGCGGCCACCCTTGCCAACTATTCATACAAGAGAAGTGAAGGGAGCCATAAAAGGTGCTGTGGGGGTCTGTGGAGGCAGAGAGAGAGAGAAGGGGGGTGAAAAGCTAATTAGCTGCTTTACAGGAAAACCCAGAAAAAAATGAGCACTAGTGGGAATGTGGTTTTATCCCTTCAAGAATTCTATTTAGCCTGCCAGGAATTAACCTTGACTGCAATTAGGCCATCAATACCCTTTCAGAAAATGTTCAGAGACCTCAACTTTGTTTAGAGACCTTGTGTGGGTGGAACTTCCTGTTTGCACAGAGAGCAGCATAAAGCCCGGTTGCTCTGGGGAGTGTTGGGACCAGATCGATTGTAGGGAGAGGGGTGCAATAGCCTGGTCTCCTCCGGCCCCTTCTCCCTGCACAATGGAGGACAAACTCCTTCATCCAAGTCTCGTTCTCCTCTTCCTGGTCCTCCTGCCCACAGACACCTCAGTCTCTGGAAAACCGTGAGTTCCACACAGAGCATAAAGCATGAACTTTCCTCATTTCAGATACTCTTTTCTATCATTCATTTCATTTTTTCTAAAACTGTCACCTTCTTGTCTTTAAGGTTCTTTTCAACCACGAGGTGTTGTAAATCTGATTTATTCATTCTTTGCTTATGTTTAACCATTTTGTCCCAACTGTCTGGATCTCTGAATCTCTAAATTCAGAGTGATATGCAAAGCTTAAGAAGCATCAGAAATTGATTCTTCTTTAGAGGAATCAATTATTAGATCTTCATGCTCCTATTGATATGCTTAAGATCATGCTATTTATCCTTCGTATCTCTCTTAATTTCACATCTTCTATTTTATAAAATAAAGATAATCCTCTCGCTCAATCAGATCCTACCATGGAGCACTGTCCTGGAGTATAGACATCTTTAGGGTGCCAAATAAAGGAACAATTTGAAATACCGGTGTTTATGCTCAAAAAGCAAAGGACCCTAATAACAGGGGAGAAATCCTTTTGCACATCAGGGGTGATGACTTCTCTGCTTAAACAAAACTGAAGGAGAAACTAAAAGAAATACCATCTGATAGATGATTAGAAGCAAATGTTGATAACCAGGTACTGGGTGATTTGGGGCCTGCAATGCAGAAGCAGCTGCCAGAAGTGGTGACAACGATACAATCATCTGACCTGCCGTTGACTTACTTTGATGTGAATAATTCTTCTTAGTACTTTTATCTGCCCAAAACAAGAATAGTAAGGGAATTAATGCTAGACCTTGTTTAATTCTTGCAATAAGGAATATCCATCTGTGAATACATAAATTTACTGAAGGAAAAAACAGCTCATCATTCTCATTAAAGTTGTGTCTCAAAAGCATTTTAATTTTATATCTAATATGTATGAATCGTAATTTGCAATATATCTATTTTATTTTGATCAGTTGGATACTAGTACTATTGAAAGTTACCTAATCAGAAGAAAATGTTCAATATTTGCAAATTTAATGTTCTCATTATATTTAATAGAAGAGTTAAAGTTAGATTTATATACCCACATTAATATTACATATGTATGTATATATGTATGTATGTATATTTGTTAGTAAAGAGTGAAAAAAAAATTAGTTAAAATTAAAAAGAAGAGTGATCCATAAAATATTTTGAAGCATAAAAGTCTTAGCATAAACTTCTGTATGTTAAGTGGCATGGAAATTCAAGTTCAAGGAGGAAAATAGGGAAAGACCATTACCAAAAGAACTTTTTGATATTTTTTTAAATAGGTAATACTGGATATCTGATCACTATAATATTTAAGATTCCATGAGAAACTTGTGAAAGTAATGTAAGTTTTAATTTAAAATATCATCAAAAAAATCTTTCACTATTACTTAAAATTGTAATTAGAAAACAGATGTTTACTTGAAAATATGAAAGTGGTGCACAGTGTCTAAATTTTATTTTAGGAGTTCTGTGAGCAAAATGTTGGGAAACCACAGTATCAATTTTAAATTATATATCAGGATATTGGGAAAGTTTCTGTCCAGCTCGTGAGTTACCAAGATCCAAATTCAATCACGAGAGGACCATCTTTGGGTGGAGCCATTGTCTAGCTATGAGGTAAAAGGCAAATATTTAAAATGCAAACATCCATGGTCAGGTAACACACTAAGACTTTATTAGCTGCTTACCACCACCGAGACTTTAACCTGATGACTCACTTTCTTTGAGCCTCAGAATCCTAGAAGCAAGTACTTGCCAGACAATTTTAACAGGGTTGTTAAACATATATACAGGGGTACTTCAAAAAGGTCATGGAAAGATTCACACTATCTTTTGTTTTTCCACAAACTTTTTAAGTACCCTCATATACTGGGTGATATATATACACATATGTATATGCATCTATATGTATATTTTTGTTTGTTTGCTTGTTTTTTAAGGAAAGTTGTGTACTTTGATTGGCTTTTGTAGTGCCCACATGCCTGAGAGCTTGCTCGTTTTTACAGCAATCCTAAGGTAAAATAGATTTATAAAGTGAATAAATGTAACTACCAAATATTTTTATTTGAATCCAGATGCTCACATATTGATGTTCCTTGTAGTAAGGTATGCTTACAAATTTTAGTCTGTTTAAGGCCCATCTCGAGTAAACTGTTCACTGCCATGGCATATGACAGAAAGGGAAAGTAACCCCCTTGCAAGCCATTCAACAGCAGAGCTCCGTGCACACCAGTGCACCTTTTTCGGTGTACAGCAAATGATGGTAACAAGAGTTGGAGTGGCAAACAGCGCTGTTGATAGCAACGTCTCTCCTCCACTTTCCTTGAACTGGACGCCCCCCCTCCCAGGCAGTATATGGTGCTGGTCCCCTCCCTGCTGCACACTGAGACCCCTGAGAAGGGCTGCCTCCTTCTGAGCCACCTGAATGAGACAGTGACCGTAAGCGCATCCTTGGAGTCTGTCAGGGGGAACAGGAGCCTCTTCGCTGACCTGGTGGTGGAGCAGGATTTATTCCGCTGCGTCTCCTTCACTGTGAGTGTGGCTGCTCCACTGAATATACTCAGTTCTAGTGGTCAGGGCCGTCGGGATCTAGTATTCAGTCAAGATAAGGTTTTAGGAAGCTGGTAAGTACTTCAGGAAGGAATCTAAATATAGCAACTAAGAGTAGAAATTAAGAAGTAATGCAAGAATTTCCAACCATGGAAGACAAACATTTATGGATATGTTAAAAATCAACTTAGTGATCAATGAGAAATCCTATTAACCAGAAGGAAAAAAAACAACAGTACGCACTATATGCACTAGACAAAGGGAAAATGTGACTTTTCCTTAAAATTAAAATGGAAAAAAACATTGATAAAGCAAATTAGGTCAAGGTTCAACATGAGCCACTAGTAGTGGACTGACAGGAACACATCAATTCACACTCTTTCTAAGAAAAAAAGTCGTAGAAATTACTCCATGCAAATGCCCAATTCTCTTTAGAGTTTCCTGTTTATGGGATGCTTACAGCCTAGTATCAATAAAATATTCTAATTTTTTTCATAGCCTTAAGACATGCTTCTTCCATGCCCTTATAACATCAGCTTGGTACAGATCAGTGTATAATTGAATCAGGACTGTATTGTCTGAGGTGTACCAAAATATGTCTGTTATAACCTCTCTAACTGATGTATTTTCCTCTATTTTGTGTTCTGTCTTCCCATTTGTTAAACGGCAGAAGTAATTTCTGTCCGTGCCTACTTTCCCAAATGAAAATGAAGGAGTGAAATTAAGTAGAAAGGGCAAGATCTTAGGAAGGAGTAGAACAGAGAATAGGGGAGGAGACCTGGGAGACCCAGTGGGTTCTCAGGATCACTTCTATATTTCAGGTCCCAAGGTCATCACCCAATCAGGAGGTAATGTTCCTCACCATCCAAGTGAAAGGACCAACCCAAGAATTCAAGAGGCGAACCACGGTGATGGTTAAAAACGAAGAGAGTCTGGTCTTTGTCCAGACAGACAAACCCATCTACAAACCAGAGCAGACGGGTATGAAGAGGGCTACGGTCTGGACAATTTCCCCTGCATATTCCCCAAACTACCTATAAGCCGGGTTCCTTAATAGTTTGTCTTACCAGCCTGTAGGCCGAGTTAAGAGTTTTGGGGGCTCATGGAAAAATATTTCTGTTTCAGTAAAATTTCGTGTTGTCTCATTGGATGAAAATTTTCACCCCCTGAATGATTTGGTGAGTCTCCTTTTATCTACATAAAATCATTATTATCTATATAAACAGTCTGGGAGTCTGTTTTGGGCATTGGAGGAAGGACCACAGAGAGGAAGAATCTGGTATTATTAACAGTAATTTCTGGCACTGTAATAATAACACATGATTCTAATTTAAAACATTATTCCCAGTAAAGAGAGTAGGTAATTCTTCCTGTCTTGGTACTGGTACTCAGTTGTCACACAATTAAACTTATTCTTTTGGTAGTTCTCAATTGGGAAAATTAGAAAGATACATTAAATAATAGACACAGATAAACCATCAAAAGCCCATGTTCAAGTAACTTCTCAGAGATTTAGACTTTTCCTGCACACACTTACCAGAACCTCTGCTATGTAGGAAGAGAGTAATTATCTGTTCCTCCGTACTAAGCCATATTTGCAATAAGAAACACTGCTGTCTGTTGCAATGCAGTTATCAAATCAAATCTTCACTTTTCTTTCCTACATCTGCTTCTCCAGTACATTTTATTAGCTCTATCAGAGGCAATTGCTTTCTAGCTCCTAAAGCAAAAGATTATGGTCCAATCCTTGCTTCTCTTTCTTTCACACCCACATCCACTTTACCAGAAAGTCATGTCAACTTAAAATATATCCAGACTACTTCTTACCACCTGAATTGTTACAACCTAGTACTGGCCAATATCATCTCTAAACAAGATCACTGCAAGAACCTTGAAAACTGGTTTCCCAGTTTCTAATTTCACTCCTCAACCTAAAAATCAAACACCACATCCATCACTGTCAGCTTAAACCTGCTTTATTTTTCTTCATGGCACTTACTATCCCCTGAGATACATAAATCTCATATATATGAGGGGGTTTTGACTTATCTGTCCATTTCTATTAGAATGTAACTTTCATGAGAACAGACATATTGTTCTTTTGTGCATTGCTTTATTCTCAGAACTTACATACAGAGCATATGAGTAGGCACTTAATGAGTATTAGTTATTAAAGATGAATAAACATTGGTAGTAGAGGAGCTATTCCCACTCCTCCTCATTCTTAGAACTACCTAAGAGTTCTATGATGAATCTTAATAATTGGATCTGAACATGACTATTTCCATAGGTTATTTCCACAGGTGTTTATATCTTAATCTGTAAAATTGCATAGCAAAGGAATGTTCTTCTCTGGAATGCTATAAGCACTTAAGTAATGTTAGTATATCCCATTTCTAATGAATGGAAGTGCATGTATATATTTGTTGCTGATGATCTAGTAAGTTCTTAACATTATTTATTAAATGCTTAAAATGGATTAATTAAAAGTTCTGTAAAATTTAACCTGGAATCTTCCTGTTAAGAATTAGTTTACATAAAGCTGTTTTGCTTATAAATCAAAACTATTTAGAATAGTTTCGAACAATTATAAGCTCCTTTCTTTCTCTTTTGTCTTTCAGATTCCACTGGTATATGTTGAGGTAAGTAACATGAAACATACCATAATTAAAAGGAAAGCAGTACATTTAGGGAAAATGTTCTTATTTGAGAGGTTCTTAAAATATCCCAGATATTTGTCATTAGGGAGAAAACTTCAAATGCACGTAGGGTTCGATGGTTACAACTCATCTCCCCTTCCCACCACTCTATTTGTCCTCTTTGTGAATAACATAGGAGTGCCCAAAGATTAATTTATTGTCTCTAATGCTCTGGGTGCATTTGTAAGTTATAATGAATTTATCCACAGGACCCCAAAAGAAATCGCATCACACAATGGCAGAATCTCAAGTTAGAGAGTGGCCTGAAGCAACTGTCCTTTCCTCTGTCATCAGAGCCCTTTCAGGGTTCCTACAAGGTGGTGGTGCAGAGGGAATCAGGAAGGACAGAGCACCCCTTCACCGTGCAGGAATTTGGTATGGATCAGGGAAAACCTTGGAACTTTTTTTCATATTTAAAGTTCTAGGGCTCAGAATCTGAGCTCATTTGGAGCCCTTCCTTTTCCCATGGGTGATATTGGGCTTGGAGCAGAACTAGTTGTATCAAAGTCCAATGAAGACATCTATGATTTGTGAATAGGACTTCGTATGGCTTGCTTATTTTGTAGCAATGTTTAATGCCCCCAAAATGTAAAACATCTTCGTTATAGTAGAGCCTTCTAAAATTCACTAGGGTTGCAGGGATCCGTCATAGTCCCTCAACAAAAATCTCCATTTCAGAGAAAGGTGGATATGGACATATTGGAGAGTAGAGCTACCTTTTCACAGCCCTAAAGTACTATGAGGGAGCTGTTACAGACAATCTGAAAATATTAATGCCCCGAAAGTTGAAAACCAATCACTAACCTCCTTTATCACCAATCAACAGTGCTTCCCAAGTTTGAAGTGCAAGTAACAGTGCCAAAGATAATCACTATCTTGGAAGAAGAGATTAACGTGTCAGTGTGTGGCCTGTAAGTTGATTTTTTTAAATCATTTAAGAGGAATATTTTTATTAAAACATATTGATTATACATATTTATGGGGTAGAGAGTTATATTTCAATAATAACCAAATCAGGATAATTAGCATATTCATCATTTAAAAACTTAAGCATTTCTTTGTGATGTGGACAGTTGGTCTTCTCTCTTCTAGCCATTTGATAACGTGCAGTCAATTATTTACGAGACTCACCCTTTGCGGTATTTTGGCTAGTTTCTAAAGGAGAAGTGGCAACACAAACACTTCAAATATTTGGCAAGCATTCCCATCTCTAGAATGTTCTGTTGCTTTCCTATTTTTCCTTTTTATTTTCTTTCATGTTGCTATCTGCATAACTAACTACTTCTAGAGAGGCTGTGCTACCAGTATTGATTCTGGCACACACCAAAAAAAACAAACAAAGACAACAAAAAGCAGGATAGTGTTGAAGGGTCATAGCTTTCTCTTAACCAGAAGTATCCAAACATATATAAGAGAGATAATCAGCATATCGTTATAGGAGAATTCAATTCTCAACAGATCATTTACCCAACTTTGCATGCATAAGTGGAAAAATAGCTCAGATTCAAACTTTGTAGTGATAGGCATATAACCGAAATCTCATTTAACTCGTTGGTCTACGTATGGCATGTCACATATCTCTCCGCACTGCCGTTTTTACTGAGGAGACTCTCAGTATGGTCCCTTTTACCCTTGAAAATTTGTGTTTTCTGGATCTTATGCTCCCACCTCTGGTAGCCCAGTAGTAGCACTAGCATTAGAGCAGGCAGAGTGAAAAATCCAGTCCTGCCTAAAGACCATATATGTAATGCACCTACTAATCACCTAGGCTTCTGCCCCAGCACTGTGTCAGAGTAATGGCCACCAAGTTCTTGGTCACACATAACTGGTGAGCCAATGCTCCTACAAATCCAGATATAAAGGATTCAAACAGGAAAGGAAGTAAATGCTTTGAAAATATAGCAATCGTTTATGACATATTTATGGCACAGCCCTATTTTAGTAAAAAAGCAAACAAGTAAAATTTGATGTAAATAGAGAGGCTGCACATGGAAAGAAGTTGATGGAAGGAGAGACATCGTCATATTAATAGTTATTAATAGTTTTTATTACCAGACAAGCATGAGGGCATTCATTTCTTCTTTTGGTTTCTTGTTTTGCTTTGTTTTGTTTTGTTTGCTACTACTGTTTTTTTCTTTTAAGAATAGGTTTAGATTTTGTAATACACAAGACATTTTTAAAGATGAAATTGAAAAGAAAAAAATCAAGAAAAAAACTTAATAAAAGAAGAATGTACTAAATTTCAGCTTGTTATACTGGAGATTTCTCTTTTTTTTTTAATTTTATTTTGTCGATATACAATGTGGTTGATTATTGTGGCCCCTTACCAAAACCTCCCTCCCTCCTCCCTCTCCTCCCTCCCACCCAACAATGTCTTTTCTGTTTGCTTGTCGTATCAACTTCAAGTAATTGTAGTTGTTATATCTTCTTCCCCCCCCCCAGATTGTGTGTGTGTGTGTGTGTGTGAATTTATTTATTAATTTTTAGCTCTCACCAATAAGTGAGAACATGTGGTATTTCTCTTTCTGTGCCTGACTCGTTTCACTTAATATAATTCTCTCAAGGTCCATCCATGTTGTTGCAAATGGCAATATTTCATTTATACTGGAGATTCCTAAAAGAGAAGAGTTGTGACTCAGTTCACTTGCCTTCAGTACTGCATGAGCCCTACAGAGAGTGACTCTACTGTAGCTAAGGGGGAAATATAAATAGGTAGAAAATGGGGAGGTTCAGTGTCTCCTTTGATTCATTTGACAATGTTCTCATGACAGATACACATATGGGAAACCTGTCCCAGGACATGTGACCGTGAAGGTTTGCAGGAAGTTTGGTAACCCTTCCAACTGCTTTGGTGAAGAGTCACAGGCTTCCTGTGAGAAATTCAGTCAACAGGTGGAGTGAAAACTGTTCCTTCTAGGAATTAACAAGAAAGGCATTGTTGGCAGGCTGTGAGTTGCAACATGGTGCTAACTCAGAAAGAGAACTATATGGAAGAGAATTCCATGCTAGCTACTGTAATTTTTTAAAAAATCAGCGAATGAGCACAATAAGAATTATTTGTGTCTTGTATTTGGCCTTTGTGGATGTTCCAAAATGATAGAAGTTGAGCCATCCAAAGCCTCCTTGGGTATCTACTTCTAGGAAGGAAAGAGAAAAAACATACCTCCTTACCTGCCTTGGCTGGGATGGGTGTCAATTCAGTTTTCTTTCTATGAGCAAGAGCCTAACACATAGCCCCACCTAGATGCCAGGGACATAGGAACACAGTTCCCAGATGAGCAGCTGCTGCAAGCCACAGTTCTATTTTACAGGAGGAGGAACCAGACTTTGGTGAAAAGTAAGATTACCCCCCAAAATTTAAGGCATTTCTATCTCATTCTCTCTAGAGAATTTTAGATAATAAGGAATATACCAGTCAACTATACACAAGATATTATTTTGAATTGTAGTACTCATTAGTCCCTAGAGAATATTTATTGTGTCCTTATCATAGAAAATGCCTAGATAATGTTGTCTCAAAAAAATCCCACCAGAGTAACTGTCCAGTCTAATATGCATTAGGTTTCGTATTTTATTTTCTCTCCTCTTAGCTAAACAACCATGGCTGCTTCTCTCAGCAAGTAAAAACCAACATCTTCCAGCTGAAGAGGCAAGGATATGAAATGAAACTTGAAGTGGAGGCCAAGATCCAAGAAGAAGGAACAGGTTTGTGTACCACCTGGATATGGGAGAAGAAACAGTGGACACTGATTTATTGTTCCACCCAAATTATGAATTGTAAGGGAGGAGGTAATATAAGAAGTTCAGGGACATCATCTTTTCAAGAATGAATTTATTTTTTTCTTTTTCTTTTACAGCGGTAGAATTAACTGGAAGCGCATCGACTGAAATCACAAGAACCATAACCAAACTCTCGTTTGTGAAAGTGGACTCCTACTTTAGACAAGGGATCCCATTCTGTGGGCAGGTGGAGTATTTTACAACTCACTAGTCAAGCTGGGTACTGTCACCTAATTAGCAGAATAGGTATGGTTTCTGTTATTAAAACAATAGCTGTTTATTTATTTACTTATTTTGTGGCTGGCTGGTATGGGGATCTGAACCCGTGACCTGGTTGTTGTAAGGCTGCGCTCTAACCAACTGAGCTAACCAGCCAGCTCTAAAACATAGGTGTTTAATGTTATCAGTTAACATAACCAAAGGTGTAAAATATACCAAAGTTTGATTAATATAACTAAATGTATAAAACCTTATAAGAATAGATTCCTCTGTAAATATGTATATGAAATCTATAAAGTCATTCTAAAGCCCTATCAAAATTAGTAAAAATTTTTTCTCACTTTTGGAACAGCATTGTATATCACTCAATCTCTTTTTCATGGTTTACCAGGCAGTCTCAGGTTTTTATGACTTTTTTTAACAAGAATCTCAAAGTTCATGGTGACCAATTACATTGTCCTTCTAACACTAACTTGTATGGAAATGGGTAGGTAGGTGGTTTTAATTTTTATTTTGAAGTATTAAAGATTTTACTATATGTAGTGTTTCTTTCATGGATATTATATTTATATTAATTTTCTATAATAACAATTATATTTTTTAAAAGTAAGCATAAGGGTAAAATATTGCTGTTTAGTGTTCCCAGATCTTAAAATTATAAATTTTCTCACAGATTTACAAAAAAAAAAAAAATCTTCTATTGTGATTCTTCTATTGTCAGCACATGGATTGTCTGACTCCAGAAATTCGAGGTAATAGTTGCATATACCTCAATGCATAATTACTACATATCATGTTCTTAATGGAAATGAGACAGGATTTAAGCTATATATGGTATAAAAGACAGAGAAACAAGACTCAACAAAGTGGAGTACATTCTAGAAAATTAGCTTATGTTATGACAGCAAAACGTATTCAGAAACCTTGGCCGCTTCCTAAAAATGAAAGTACAGTCTACTTTTAAATTTCTCAGAGGCATATCATACCTTTTATACTTTAGTGCTGCTGAATAACTATCCTACTTGTCATAAGAGTCTCTCACTAGAAGAGAAAGAATCAGGATTTTGTGCCTATTCTTGTCTTTGTACGTGCAACCAGCATTTCACTGGCAAACTTAGAAACACTGATCCAAGTCAGACCATCATGCCTACAAACCTGAAAAAAGAGTCACCATCTCAACAGTCTGAACTGGGCTACTCACCTGCTGAGTTCCATGTTAGTGGTAATTTGCCTTTAGGGACTTATTTAATACTGTGTGCCTCTTCTCATTTCACATTTTTCACATGGGAAGTGAGTCATAAAATCTGCCTACCTTCCAAAAGGTTGAAGATCTAGGTTGAGAAGCAGACACCATGTGTAAAACAGCTAGAGAACCACACAAGACAATGTGTTAACAATTGCTTACTTGTGCACTTATGACATTTTAGAACACTGATCCTTACAAAGTTAATGGCCTAGCACAAAATAAGTGTTTGGGACTCAGCTAAATTTGGCTAAGTAAGGAATTAAAAATGTTTATCGCTATATTACTCTTGTGGTCTGTGACTCTCCAGGAATTATATATAATACATAGCATTTCCAAAATATCCAGAGTACATTTTTCTGATCAGCCTTATTATTATCCCTATCATTTGCAATCCCTTCACATTGATTTATTTTTCTCTTAGGAATGTTTACTACTAAATAAGTGTAAATTATTTATATACTTTTTTGACATCTATCTTTTTTAGTAAGTGGTAACCTCTGTCATGGAAGGAACTTTGACTTGTTCACTGCTATATCCCCAATGCCTGGAACCGTGTTCAACATATAAGAGGCACTTAAAAAATATTCATGATAAAGTGAATATGTTTGGTGCCTATTGGTTATTGTCCATATAACTTATCCACAGTTTTTAATCTTCAGGTGCGCCTAGTGGATGGGAAAGGCACCCCTATGCCGAATAAAATGATCTTCATCACAGCTGATGCAGCTAACTATCACTCCAATGCTACCACTGACGAGCATGGCTTGGTGCAGTTCTCCATCAACACCACGAGTGTCACGGGCACCTCTCTCACCGTTAGAGTAAGTTTGGAAGGAAGTTACCAAGGACATAAAATAGCCTTGAAAATAAGGTTGCAACCTAAAAGTGATGAACTTTCAAATTGTGTTTAGTCCTTTAGAGGGAAAAAACTAGAAACTAGAAGCCAATTTACGGAAATTTATGAAAAGGAGGCCGTATATTATGGTTAACGTACAGGTTCCACTTTAGCGACATTGTAGGAACATAAAATGGTACAGCTACTATGGAAAACTATGGCAGTTCCTCAAAAAAGAAAATAATAGAATTAACATATGATACAGCAATCTTACTTCCAGGTATATGTATATAACAAATGAATTGAAATCAGAGTCTCTAAGAGATATGTGCACACCCATGTTCATAGTGTCACTATTTGTAACAACCAAGAGGTGGAAGCTACCCTGATTTCCATCAATGGATGAATGAATAAACCAAATATGGTGTGTGTGTGTGTGTGTGTGTGTGTGTACACAATGGAATAGTATTCAGCCTTAAAAAGAAAGGAGATTCTATCACATGCCACAACATGGATGAGACTTGAGGACATTATGCTAAGTGAAATAACAAAAGACAAATACAGTACGCTTCCACTTATATGAGGTTTCTAAAGTAGTCAAAGTCATAGAAACAGAAAATGCAATAGTGGTTTCCAGGTGCTAGGAGAGGGAGAAATGGGAAATTGCTGTTTACTGGGTGTAGAGGTTTAGTTTTGCAAAATGAAAAGTTCTAGAGATCAACAGATACACTTAACACTACTGGACTGTACACTAAAAAATGGTGAAGATGGTAAATTTTATTTTGTATGTTTTTTACCACAATTACAATTGGTAAAGGGCCATGAAAATCAACCACATTGTATAATGATAAATAAAAAAATAAATTAAAAAACTAAACCTTAAGGAAAAAAACATGACTCAAAACAAAATATAAATATAAAGATTCAACTTATCAGTAAGATAAAATGATTCCAAATTTGTATATATCTGATAACATGATATCAAAACTAGAAAGCAAAAACTGATAGAACTTCAAGGAGAAACAAACTCAGAAATTTGATCTAATAGACACACAAGCTATATTCGATGATTGAAGATACACATTCTTTACAAGTGTATTTTCAAAAACTACATTTACAAAAATGTTTCATACACAGGGCCATAAATCAAGTTCCAACAAATTTCAACAGTTAAATCATACAGAAATGTTTTCTGACCTCAATGCAATTAATCTAGAAATCAAAGACAAACATATCTAAAAATTCCCATCTGTTTGTAAGTGAATAAATATACTTCTAAATAGCTAATGGGACAAACAAAAAAATCAGAAAATAAAAGAAAGTGTGGTTTCCAGAATCAGAATCAGAAAAACTGGTTGAAAATAATGACCCAACCGTATATTAAGGGCAAATAACTAAAACCTCTGTACTTCATTTTCTTATCTGTAAAATGGGTGCAATATTTAATACCTAACGCTCGAGGTGATAGTGAGGATTGAGTGAAATAATACAGGTTAAAGCACTTAGTAAGTGCCCTTTGACTAATACGTATTTTACTATAAAAGCCCATTTTAACACAATTACATTTAGTTTCAAAAATATACACTGCATAAATTACTGTCTTACTTTTTGTCCTGCTATTCTAATTTTCTCCAGATGGCCTATTCATACACATATAACTTGTTTTGTATACCACACTGTCCTCAATTCATCAATAGAAATGTAGGCATATGTTGATAAATATATGGGTAGGCAATATATATTACATAATGATAGTGATGGAAAACTCCTACCTCTTAAGTGTTTTCATGTTGGTAAGAGGAAAGAATAAAGAGCATATTTTATTGGTATAAAAGTCCATAGTTCTAATAACTCAAACTTAAACATTTATTCATTTATCATCAATCAAGAAGTGTCTTGAGTGCTATGTGCCTGGCACTGTGCTAGTCCTGACAATGAAAATACTATTTTTAAATGCTCCCTCTTTTTTGATGGTTTTATGTATATATGCTGTCACTAGAACATATGTGGAGGTAAAAACAAAGTATTTTGCTGGCACAAGGATTCACTCATGCTACTTGGGAGCTGTGAATGAGGATAGGGGAAACTGGCAAGAGCTAAGGAACAACTTGAACATGGAGAAAAGTTAGAAATACAACCCAGATAGGACCTACGAGGTATAAGAATCCAGAACAAAAGGAAGCATTAAAAAGAATCAGCCTAAGATAGCCCAGGAGAGGTAGACTTCAGCTAATTCACCAACTCAACTCTTGAACCAATGTTTTGTACATAAAGTTTTCTCAGACCCCTGAGGTTGCAATGTTTTATTTATTCCTAATACCCATTTGAAACCCATCATAAAAGAGGCAGCTACTTTCTGAAGCACAGTTTTTCCATTTCTGGAGATTATTTATTTACCCTCCTCAGTGAGGTTTCATAGCTCCAGTGGCTCTGTCTGCATGGGCGAAGTAGCCAAAGAGATTTCAAGCAAGCTAAATCAGAGCAAAGGATGCCTCCTTTCATGCCCTTCAGAAATATAAATACCAGCCCCAGGAGCCTATGCAGTGTAAAGGCACCAACCATGCCTGCATTTGATACACATGGACAAAATAAGGTGCCCTTTTCATACTTTTTACTGTGGAGTGAAAGATCTCTAGCCACTGGTTAAGGTAGGACAGTAGACTTAAGCAGTTTTGTGAGAACATTAATTCCTTATGATATATAATTTATGAAATCATTTTGTTTTTCTAATTTGTTAGGGAAGACACAAGGATCATCATTCCTGTTACGGCTACCAGTGGCTGACAGAAGAGAATGAGGAAGCACACCACACTGCTTACCTCGTGTTCTCCCCAAGCAAGAGCTTTGTCCACCTGGAGCCTGTGCCTGGCCAGCTGCCCTGTGGCCAGACTCGGACGCTGCAGGCACATTACAGTCTGAACGGACAGGTCCTGAAGGAACTGGAGGAGCTTGTCTTTTACTATCTGGTGAGAAGGGAGGTCACTGTGTTGACTGTACTGTGAGTTCTGATCCATGTTTCTTTTCAAAGTTTGACTTCTCTTCGGGCTAATTATTGCCAGCAGGGGCTCAATAAACCAAGCATATCGAACGCGTGACTGGAGTAAGATCTCTGTCAGGCAAATTAAATTCCTTTTTATTTCCTTTTTTGCAGATAATGGCAAAGGGAGGCATTGTCCGAGAGGGGACTCACATCCTTCCTGTGGAGCAGGGGGACAGTACGTATTCCCATGTCTCCTCGTAGCTGCCCCACTCTGACACATTCAACCTTACCCTATAGAAATACCAGCAACACTTAAAACTAAAGAGCATTTCTATCTAATCACAATACAGAGGGAGTTGAGGGAGAGAAAAGCAATAGTATTTCTTCTCTTTACCCTTAATTAAATATTTGTTTTCTTATTCTTTGGCGTATTTGGTTTAGATTATTTAAAATGTTGATGTTGTTGTGTATAATCTATGCTTATTCCAAATTTTCAAACCATAAGTATTCTTGGTCCATCTTCTCAAAATGAGAGACATTTCAGAATTGTTTTAGAGAATGAGGAGGAGGTAAAATTTAGAGACGCTTTCTATGTGCCAGGTCTTGTGCTGAGTCACTTATATCTTTAAAAATATTTTATATCCCCATTGAAGATAGCTGTGGTTTATGAAGAGTTAAGTTGGGTACTTTCACCATGGAATTGGACTCTCCCCATGAACAAATATGAAATGATATAAACCTTTGAAGGTTTCTCCTAATGGAGTGTAAAAGATGACTTACTAGAAAACTATTAGTCAACTGCTCTTTCGTTATCTCCTCATAGCAACACAACAACACCCTGGTAGACTTACAGAAGTTCAATCTCTGTAAGAATCTACCTTAACCTCCAAAGAATCTACCTTAACCTCCAAAGAATCTACATAGGCATCAAAAAATAACTTCGAAAGGAGCATAGTGTTCATCTTAAGGAGAAATAGAGGTGAGAGGGCTGGTTGCAGATGTCACGGGGGCCATGGCTCAGGCTATCAGTCCCCCACTGCCCTGGCTCAGGAGCCTGGGGAATTTGCTGTGGCAGCTCAGTGGTTGTCTCTAGGCTGGTTGTGGATGTCAGCGGGGCATGGCTGCAGACCAGGCTTCTAACATGGCTACGTGCAAGAGAACAATTTCATCTCAGCCCTGGGGAGATGTCTAACCCATGCTCACTTCCTCTCATCCTCTCCATGCTCCAGTGAAAGGCCATTTTCCTGTGTCAGTTCCTGTGAAGTCAGACATTTCTCCCATTGCACGATTGCTCATCTATGCCATTTTACCTGACGGGGAAGTGATTGCAGATTCTGAAAAATATGAGGTTGAAAATTGTCTGGCCAACAAGGTGGGTGCTTTATATTATAAAATTTTCAACATTTAAAACTAGAAGTTAGCATCATTATCAATTATTTTATATATGTGAGCATTGGGGCCAAAAGGGTTAAACAAATTCCCCAGAGACTTTCAGCAAAGTAATGACAGAGTCACACTAAGAAGCCATGTCCCTTGGCTTCTAGTGCAAAATTCTCAAGTTCTCCTACTGCATTGTCTCCTACCATGCGACCCAGTTCAAAGTACTTTGTTCCCTTCTTCTGTAATGAAATGTTGGGAAATATGCAAGCAAGTTTTTAAGACAACTAAAGAACCAAAAGAAAAATGCAAAAGCACCTAAACACCTCACATTTCCAATCAAAGTTAACGAACACCTCACTGTGTACCAAGGGCAAAAACTGGCATCTCGAAGTTAGTAATTTGTAAGAATAATTAGAAATCATTATAATGGCTCAACTGATTCTTGAGATTCCAAGTGAAGCATAGGAGACAAAAAGCCCCAGACTGACACAATGCCTACCACCACAAAGTCAAAGTGGTTATTTATTAAATGGAAAAAAACACTCAGGAAACATGCATGAATGCATGTTTAAATCAGGAAATTTGTTTCCTGACTTTTTTCCCCAATTGCATAGGTGGATTTGAGCTTCAGTCCAGCACAAAGTCTTCCAGCCTCCCACGCCCACCTGCGAATCGCAGCTTCTCCTCAGTCCCTCTGTGCTCTCCGTGCCGTGGACCAGAGTGTGCTGCTCTTGAGGCCTGAGGCTGAGCTCTCCCCGTCCTCGGTGAGTTCCCAACAGCTTCAAGGATCAGAAACGGCCACGAGGGGCTCAAAATGAGGAGAAATGCCTATCTGAGTAGGATAATATCTATTAAAATTATATTTATCTACAAGTTAACAGTTTTGAGCTCTTTTGCATGTGTTTTCTTTGGCAAGGAAGATATTATATATTTTATAGTAAAATATAAATATAAATATATACATATATATACATTGAGAGAGAGAGAGAGATTACCAGGTTTTGCAAGTTAAAAACAATTAAAATGTACTGCCTAATATGGTATATTGAACCAAATAAAAACATTTTTTCAAAGATAAAATGTGATAAAAAATTAACAAAAAAAAGACTTGTGATTCAGATATATTAATTAAGATCCTTGTTCAAAGTCACATAGCAATACAAACCCAAGTCTTCTGATTGTGTTAAGACACCCGTATACCCCAAGCTGGAGAGAATACAAGGCAGACTGTGAAAATGCTATAAGAGAGGTGAAGGGAAGTCATTCTTAAATTATATAGACAAAATGTAAAGGAAACCATGTACAATCCAAAGTCCCTGAAATCCCAGAGCTCCATGAAACCAAAAATAGAAGTTTTCAAGACAGTTTTAACATTTCAACAAGCTTAACAGAAGTGATAAATTTTCTTGCACTAAGACTGCACAAGCTAAATGATATATCAAGTTTTTATTTTCATAAGAATTATATCAATTGAAATAATGGATGTCCCAAGCTCAGCATCATTTCTGAAGGAAGTTATGTATGGTCTCTGATGAGTAAAAATTAGGAAAAATGAATTACTATATGATAACTGTCTTGATAAATAAAATCTTTTAAAATATGGGGTTAATAGAAGAAATAGCAGAAGGGTATGCTGGAGTGGAACAACAGGAACCTCCTTAACAACATGTACAAATAGTAGTTTGCTCATATCTTCAAATTTTCAAATGAGGCCAATTTGAATACCTGTTACTGAAGTTTTTTCTACTATCAAAATTTTATAAAGGGAAATTTTATATTTTTACTTCCTCAAAATAGAAATTTATTTTTAAAAATTCTTACTTTTTGGTCTTTCTGATGGAATTTTAGTTGAAAATATTAAAATACTTCTAAAAGAAGCATTAAGTGCATTTCAGTAGTGAGAGAAAAAGGATAAATGAAGAAGTAATGTTAATGTTTTGCATTTGTATAACATAATTTTATAGTTAAAATAATTTATAGTCAAAGGGTTTTTAATTATAAATAAGGCAAACAATCACGTTTAATTTATTAGTAATAAAGCAGAAGCTTTCAGGTATTTAGAAGCAGACTAACACTGGTTAGAACACTGGTTCCTCTCAATCCTTTATTGGTGTTTTACAAGTGAAATACTTTGCTCCTAGGGTATTTATTTAATGTATACTGTGTTCTAGGCACTATACCAAGTGCTGAGAATCTAGTAGTGAACTACTGGAAAGATAAAAATCCGTGTCTCACGGAACTTACATTCTCATAAATGAGACAGGCAATAATTATATAATATGCTTTGGAGAAAAATAAATCAGGGAGGGAAAATGGGGAATGTTGAGACAGAGCCACCTTTCAGAAAGTGTCTAATTTAATCACACTATTCAATTTGCTAATCTGTTCTTGTCAACTAATTAAAATTTTTTATGAAGATAATATAATGCACCTATCAGCATTCTTATGTCTTTCTTATTCCTTCCCTTCAAAGGTTCGAGAGCATCATTTTTAATATTTTAGTTAATCTTAGGTATTACATAAAGATCTGGAGCATTTTGTTTCTATAAATAATACCTAAGAAAATGGTATCTTGTCCTGTGTAGAGGACATCTACACAAGGGTACTTCAAAGAGTCCGTGGAAAGATTTGTATCGTCATTCAACTCTATTTCTCCACAAACTTTTTTGGTTTTTGGGTTTTTTTGTCTTTTTCCGTGTCCGGCAACGGATCACAACCCTCAGTGTTGCCCCCGTACCGGACCGGGGACCGGCAACGGGATCGCAACCCTCGGTGTCGCTCCCGCGCCTCGCTCAGCCAGCGAGCGCGAACCGGTCTGCATGTGGGATCCGAACCCTCCGGCAGGAGCGCCGCTGCGCTTCCCAAGCGGCGCACTTATCCAGTGCGCCACCGGGCCGGCCCCCACAAACTTTTTTGAAGTATCCTCATACACTTATTTATGTGCCTGTGTGTCCATTGATTTTGTTATATGCTGAGACCTTTGATAACTGCAAGGTACAGACAAAACTATCATTTCATTTTGTTGTCATGAAGCTTTGTATAATGTCAATTTCATCAATACAGTTTTATTTCATTCTACTTTGGGGTCTAATGTTTTCTTCTGAACTGTGTAACAAAGTATTATGACCCTTGCGTACTTAAATGAGAGTGTTTTTATTTTTTCCTAAAATTTTTAAACATCTTCAAAATGAAAATAGTGTTTAGAGAAGATTGTGTGTACCCTCACTATAATAATTATCAAAGCAATGAGAGCACTCGAACAAAGACTGATAGTGATTATTCTTATCCTTTTCTCCTTGAACTTAAAAAAAATAAACCACAAATACCCTTTTATCCTTTGCATTTGTACAGGTTTATAACCTGCTACCAGTAAAGGACCTCACTGGCTTCCCTGAGAGTTTAAATCAGCAGGAAGAAGACAAGGAAGATTGTGTCAATCTCAATAATGCCTATATTAATGGAATCATGTATTCCCCGGTATCCAATACAAATGAAAAAGACATGTATAGCTTCCTACAGGTAAATTCCTTCTATCACAGATGGTCAGTTCTTAAGGTTTTTAAAGTATTATACATAGAAGAATTATTTAATGCCTTAATATCATAGTTGAGGGTAATGCGATATAGAAAGATCAAGTGACTTCCCCAAGGTCACTAATAGTAGCAGATCTGCCAAAAGTTACAGAACCAGGCTGAAACTTTTGAACTATTAATCAAGTTTTCTTTTTTAATTGTACTTAATTGCTTTGTGATGCTTATAAATATCACATATATAAATAATCACTGTTGAAAGAGTTTTAAAAAACAATCAAATTACCTCTATAAATATACTAACGTCCCTTCTGCAGATGTGAACATTAAAAATTTAATATTAAGCTAACTGGATTGTTTGTCAAATTCAATTAAAAGAATTATGCATGTCTATATATTTAACACTGTATATGTATTGATTAGATGATAATTTCCTTTACAGGGTATGGGCTTAAAGGCATTCACCAACTCAAAGATTCGTAAACCCAAAGTATGTTCTCAGCCTCAACATTGTGAAACACAGACAACTGGTAGTTATCGTGTAGCTTATTTAGGTAAGAAATAATAATAATAATAATAATAAATGTTTACTGCCTAATGTATTGAGCCAAATAAGGGAATTTTTGTAAAAAATATAAAATGTGATAAATATTAACAAAACAGGACATGTGATTCAGATATGTCAAAGTCATTGCTCAAAGTCACAGAGCAATACAAACCCAAATCAGCAATATAAACCCACATCTCCTGATTGTGTCAAGCCACTCACATAAGCAAAGCTGGAGAGAATAAAAGGCAGATTGTGAAAAGTTTTATAAGACATATGGAAGGGAGAAATTGGTAAAGGGCCACAAAAAATGTTTACACTGTGTAATAATAAAATAAAAAATTAAAAACTTGGAAAATTTCTAAAAGAAATATGCAAATATACCAAGGTCAAGAGTTTGGATCCCCATACTGGCCAGCCCCAAAAAAAAAAAAAAAAAAAAAAAATGTAGATCTGCAAAATAAAAAAAAAGATTACCTCTGATTGAGGAATCAGGGAAGTCAGTCATGAAAAAAATTTGCTTCTGGTAAATGGAAATGTGCAAGTTTGGAAAGGGAAGAGAAAGTTTCCGTGCACAGGATAAGTGTAAACAGAAATAGAAAATATTCCCAAAACAGGACTATACTCTCATCAGTCAAGTCAAGAAACACTTCAGCTTCTCTAAAGCATCAGCCATATTTATGTTAAAACCAGATGCAGTTGTCAATGATGTGAGTAACTTCTCTGGTCAATCGGATAATAAGATAGCATTTATTTATAGTCCCATAGTCATATTGTCAAATCATGGTTGAAGATAAGTTGAGTACAGACAGGAGGGTGTCAAAACTCAAGGAAAGCATGCAGGGAGAGTCAACTGACTATATGAAATTTACTATGAAGATCATTGTCTATTTTTATTATTTATAAATTATATTCTATAATTTTTTATCAGTAAGATTAATGGTAAACTTCTGTATGTGCAAGTATGTATATGCATGGTATTTTTTCAGAGATGTGGTTGTTAAATATACACTAGCACCTTAACAGAAAGACAATGGGGTGAGAAAACCTAACCCTGATCTTCTGATACAGTATGCAGTGAAGAGCCTTTTTTATCCTTGATCCCTTTACTCCTATAAACTGTTTCTCAAAGCCACTGTCTAAATGTCTGGGTCACAATTTTTCTTTTCTCCCATAGAGGAACACAACCCTGGAAACGTGGTCTCCTGCTTTCCTCCCAACCCCATGTCTTAGCACTCTATACACTTAGCACAATGGGCCGTAGCCACGTAGGACCCCAGAGAGAATTTCTGCTCCAGAGACAATCCAAGGCTCTTTCTGCCAAGGTCTCTAAATTCTCAGCTTGTGCTTCTCTTCCCCCAGCTCAATCCCAACTTATTCTAATACTTCAGAACTTCACCTCCTCAGAGGAGCTTTCCCTGATTACCCAAGTTCCCTCTCCTGGTTCCTTTCTATTTCATCCCCCTATTTATTTCTTGGATAGCACTCATTGCAATCTCTCCTAAGCTTTATCTGTATATTTATTGTTCCTGTCTTCTCCCTCGCCCACCATAGAGTCAGATATGATGGAACGAGGCCGTGGAGATGCACTGAAGGCATCTGTTTCAGAGCCTCGCATGGAGACGGTACGAAAGTACTTCCCGGAGACGTGGATCTGGGACTTGGTGGCGGTAGAGTAAGTGACTTCTTTTATATGTGAGATGAAACAACATAGATCCCTCACAATTTTCAATTCTTAACTATTTTTCTTTTTTTATTGTATATATTTAAGATATATAACATGATGTTTTGTTATATATATATACAAAGTGAAGTGATTACTACAATCAAACAAATTAACATATCTGTCATCTCGCATTGTTACTTTTGTGTGTGTGTGTGCTAAGGGCACCTAAAATCTGCTGTCTTAGTAAATTTCCAGTGTACACTCTGTAGCTGCAACTTTGTACACTTTGACCTGCATCTCCCTATCCCCTGCCACCCACCATTCTACCTTCTGTTCTGTGTTCTGCTGCTTTTAGATTCCACATACGAGTGAGATCATGTCATATTTTTTATTCTGTGTCTGCTTTATTTCACTCAGCCTAATGCCCTCCAAGTTCATTCATGTTGTCATAAATAGCAGGGTCTCCCTCTTTAAGGCTGAATACTATTCCATTATACGTTTGCCACAGTTTCTTTGTCCATTCAGCCACTGATGGACTCTTACATTGTTTCTATATCTTGGCTACCGTAAATAATGCTGCAATGCATATGGGAGCACATTCTCATATATGAGGTGATGATTTCATTTCTTTTGAGTATATACCCAGAAGAGGACTTTCTAGGTCCCATAGTAGTTCCATTTTTAATTTTTTGAAGAGTCTCCATACTGTTTTTCAAAATGGCTGTACCAATTTACATTTTCACCAACAGTCCTCCACGTGTGGACAAACTCCTTCCAGAGAGAATCTGGAGACCTGGTTTTATGGCTGGAGCAAGCCAGTGGGTTGCATGAGGAGAAGGCAGGGAAAGTGTCCACACTCCCTTCCAGGCTCCCAAAGGTCTATTGTGTACCTGCCCCTTCTGCTCCCAAATGCAGGCTAGTTAGAAGCCCAACCCTCAAGAAGCAACTGGGAAAGTCTCTAGACACATCCCTTACAAGGAGAAACCGGGAGCTGTTAGCTAAGTTTTCAATATCCAAGTACTAATAATTCTGTTAATCTAATTGCATCAGAGCCAAGAAATTTTGCACAAAATTATTTCTAATATTTTCATAAAATGGGCATGAGAACTAAATATGACCAAGGCCCACAGAGATTAACACCTATGAGAGATCCTTCATTGGTCAGCAATGTTGGGTTAAGCATAGAATCAATCAGGCCAATTATGCAGCATGGTAGTAGCAAAATTAAAAATTATGTCAGCCCTCAGTGGAACAGTATTTTAGAGAAGAGAGTTCAAGGACAATCTCAAATTACGTGTTAAGTTTATATCTGTATTGTCTGTAAAAGATTATGCTACAAGTGTATGTCTATAGGGGATTCTTATATAAACTAGAATTGAAAACAGTCAGAGTTGGAAGAAAAGGACTTTTCCCATCTCAAGCCCTGATTACACTCTCTGTTATTGATATTTCTATTGAGTACACTCAAGTCATGACAACAGAGTCATTTATAGAGGTTCTCTTCCTAGAGGGATTTATTTAACTGCTCACTTTCTGCTCTTCACATTGTCACTGTCCCCAGCTCATCAGGTGTGGCTGAAGTAGGAGTAACAGTCCCAGATACCATCACTGAGTGGAAGGCAGGGGCCCTCTGCCTGTCCAGTGACACTGGACTCGGTCTTTCTCCCACTGCCTCTCTTCGAGCCTTCCAGCCCTTCTTTGTGGAGCTCACAATGCCTTACTCTGTGATCCGTGGAGAGGCCTTCACGCTCAAAGCCACTGTGTTAAACTATCTTCCCAAATGCATACGGGTAAGAATTTGTCTTTCCTAAATTGAATATAAGGTAACAGTCAAGTAAATTAAAAATTGCATTCCTGGGAATACTGACAAACTCTTGTGTACAAGATGTGTTCACTAGAGGAAGAATGCTATCAGAGGATTGCTCATATGTTGTATTAGTTGCAGTTGCTGATATTTCCAAATACCAGATTGTAACTTAAAACAAGTTCTAACCCTTATCAAAGTCTAGGTAGTTTACGTATTATAAAGATTGCAGACATGAGCAACAAAAATCAGTATTCTTCATTCTCACGACTTAGATTCTGCCACATTTCAACCTGTACATTCCCGTCTATTTAACTTTGCATAGCTCATTTATTATAGTAAACCTCACTTTAATTTTAAAAGTTGTTTGCAAGCATCTTACCTCTGCTGAAACCACAACTCTTTATAAATCTCATATAGTCTGCTAGGACAGCTGAGAGAATGGTCAAGGTTCCAGGCTACAGAAGTAGAGCAGCAGCATAATCTTTCCTCTCCTCTGGTCCCACCACATGAAAGAGCAGGTTACCCCCAAAATGCTAAGACTCGGATGTCAGATCCACCTAAATATACGAAAGGGACTTGGTCTTTGTTATGTCAGCTTTAATACTGGGCAACCTGAAATATAACCAGACTCTCAATACGCTTTATTTCCAACCCATTCTCCCTCTGATCTCCTTTTACTCAGAATCTCTTTGTCTCACATATGGTTTCAGGTCAGTGTGCAGCTGGAAGCCTCTCCCGCGTTCCTAGCGGTCCCAGTAGAGAAGGGACAAGAGACTCACTGCATCTGTGGCAATGGGTGGCAGACTGTGTCCTGGGAAGTAACTCCAAAGTCATTAGGTGAGAGACAGACTTTTAGAGACAGTTCTCTCCCCAAGGTATATGTTGGTGGGTACCTTATATCCAAGGCATGTACTGGTGGATACCTTGTATCCTGCACTACCTCCCTCAGGAGAAGATCCCCCATTCTTTTGTCTTCCATTCTAGGAAGCCTAGAAAGATATTCCCACTTCCTCGCCTCCATCCATCTCCACCTTGAATTCACAGTATCGTTAGGCTCTAGTTTATGCTGCATCTGTTCCTGCTCCCGTGTTTTTGTAAAATGAAAGTTTACAGAATATCAAACATTTATAAAGCTTGAGTTTGGAGGCGTGGTGGAAGGGGAAGAAGGTACTCATCTCTATTGGCCCTTTTTTCAGGAAATGTGAATTTCACTGTAAGTGCAGAGGCACTGGAGTCGCAAGAGCTGTGTGGGACCGAGGTGGCTATGGTCCCTGAATATGGAAAGAAAGACACAATTGTCAAGCCCTTGTTGGTTGAAGTAAGTATGCCTGCCCATTTGACAGGTCACACTGAGTAGTCACAAGAAAAACAATGAATTCACTTGGAGTTTCAGCTTTTAGGTAAGAAAGGCTAAATAATATATGGCCCATAATAATATATAGTAATATATATAATATAATGATAATACATGGATATCTCCCCATATTATTCTTCTCTATCTACCTGCCCACCATGTCTATCTCTGTCTCTCTCTTTATTTTCTTAATTTTTCACTCCCTTCCTCATCTTCAACCTGCCTCCTCTATACTGCTTATACTTGCAGAATTTGTTCATATAATACAGTTCAAATCCTTCTCTTCACTATCCAGAACTCTGTGGTTCCCCTATCAACACACATGTCCTGAAAGTCCATTCTCATCTCTAAATTTTCCTTTTAATTGTTACCATTTTTTCATTGACACAATAATTGTATATATTTGGGGTACGATGTGATGTTTCAATATATACACTGTTTTTTAATCAAATCAGGGTAAGTAGCATATCCATCACCTGAAACATTTATCACTTTTTTTGTGGTAGGAACATTCCAAATTCTCTCTTCTAGTTATTTTTAGATTGCAATATCTTATTGTTAGCTACAGTCACCTTACTCTGTGTCACCTCTAACTTTTCTCTTTTTTTTCACCTAAGCCTGAAGGACTAGAGAAGGAAGCAACATTCAACTCCCTGCTTTGTCCCTCAGGTAAGAGTCAGCCATCCTAATTTAAAAAAAAAAAAAACATTAACTAAAGTTTATAGAACATTTGAGTTCAGGAACTTTTATGCATTATTCCTACACTTTCCCTGTGAAGAGCTGCCCTACTATCAACACATTTGACAAATGAGTAATTGGTTCTTAGAGGCCGAGTAATTTCACCAGGAGCATCTCCTTAGCTCATGCATTCTTGGTCTTGCTCTCTTGCAGTACCTGTGCAAAATCCAAAATGTCTTTCTCAACAGTGTGTGGCATGGGTGTAGGCAGAAAATGGGTAGAATCAAAGGGGATATTTCCCTGAAAAATTAGTAATACAACATACGGATAGCTGAATTCAGAGTTCTTCCTACCTAACAGCCTTTGATAATGGGGTAATGCTATTTCCCAAAGAAAGAGTTGTAATGGCCTTTACCATTATTATCCTAGTAATATTTGTTTGATGCCAATTCTGTACCTAATTTTGTATCTAATGCCCCATCAGTCATTGCAGAAGCTTACAGTAAAAGAAATAACTTTTTCTTGTTGGAGGATTTTCTAATCTAAACAACATTTCTAGAAATTTAGTATACTAAGAAGTTTATCAAGACAACATGTTCTTACCCCAAACTGACATCAAATCAACATCACACCTCTGTTCTTTACCTTTTTCTATCTACTAAATTCTATTTACTATATTTTTTCTATTGTCAAGATTTAACATATAAAGTGTGTTCGAAAAACATAATTTCCTATTGTTTAGCTTTATTTCTACATTTAAGTGAATTTAGTGCTCACCACTCGATCCTTTTATCAATGACTTCTCCATTTCTGAGTTAGTTCTTCAATTCAATTAAATCTCTTATGCTTCCAGGGTCAGCCATCAGGTAGTTTTATTAAAATTTATTTTAATTAATTTATTAATTTGTTTAATTACCCATGTTATTAATCACCTATATAATTATATAACAATACATTCCTTTTTTCAAAAAATTGTATTAAAAGCTAATATTCCCCTTTGTAATATTTTTTAATACTTCAATGATCATCCATATACCTTTACAAATATGTGTAAGTGTATGTGATTGTGTATGTGTGATTTACATAAATTATGTTTTATTCTATAACTCGCTTTTATTTTTTTCTAATCAGTAATCTGTCAGAGATATATGCATGTAAAATTGTAGACCTAGGTCATTCCTTTTAGTGGCTTTTAATTCTATACTATCAATGTAGCACAGTTCTGCTCAGTTTTTAGCCATTCCCACATCAGTTTTTCAACTATTTGCTAGTAAAAATAGTTAATTAATTAATTATTAATAATATTCTCCTTGTGTACATATGCAAGTGTAGTTAGGGTAGGTACCAAAATGAGAAATTCCTGAGTCACAGGTGGTATACATATTATTAGTATTTTTGTTTGGTTTTTGGGATTTATTTAATTTTATTATAAGTTGACAATTTATAATTGTATATATTTATACAGTAAAAAGTGATGTTATGGATTTATGAATACAATGTGGAATAATTAAATCAAGTTAATTAACATTTATCACCTCAAGTATTTATCATTTTGTGCTGAGAATATTTGAAATTTATTCTCTTAGCAAGTTTAAAATATATAATACACTATTATTAGCCATATTTACCACACTGTGCAATAGATGTCAAAAAAAAACCACCTTATTCCTTCTGTCTGAGACTTTGTGTCCTTTGACCATCATCACCGCCATCACCTCCACTCAGCCTCTGTAACCACTGTTTCACTCTCTGCTTCTGTGTCGCTACTCATTTATCCATTGATGGACACTTAGGTGTCAATAGTTTCATAACCTGGATATTGTATCATGCTGCGATGAACATGGGAGTGCAGACATGTCTTTGGCAGACTGATGTCAAACCTTTTAAGTATATACCCAGACGTGGGACTGATAGATCATGTGGAAATTCTATTTTTAGTCTTTTAAGAAGCCTCCAGTTTTCCATAATTACCGTACTAATTTACATTCCCAGTAACAGTGGACAGGGCTTCCCTTTTCTTTACATGCTCTCCAATACTGACTATCTTTTGTCTTTTTTATAGTAGCCATTCTGACCATGTGAGGTTATAACTCACTGTGGCTTTAACTTGCATTTCCCTAATTATTAGTGATGTTAAGCATTTTTCATGTATCTGTGGGCCATTTGTATGTCTTCTTTTGAGAAATGTCTATTCAGGTTTCTTACCTATTTTTAATTGGGTTACTTGTTTTCTTACTATTGAATTCCTTATATATTTTGGATACTAACCCCTTTTTGAATGTATGATTTGCAAATAGTTTCTCCAGGTTCACAGGTTGTTTCTTCACAATGTTAATTGTTTTCTTTGCTTCACAGAGATTTTTCAATTTAATATAACCCCCATTTGTCAACTTTTGTTGCCTGTGCTTTGGGGGTCAAATACAAAAAAAATCATTTCACAGACCACTGTTGTGTAGTTCTCCTAAATTTTCTTCTAGTAGTTTTACAGTGTCAGTGCTTATGTTAAAGTCTTTAATCTATTTTGAATTGATTTTTATATGTGGTATGAGATAAGATTTCAATTTCATTCTCATGCATGTGGATATTCAGTTCTCCCACCACCATTTTTTGAAGACACTATCTTTTTTCCATTGTTTATTCTTGGTATCTTTATTAAAAATCAATTGATCATATGTGTATGGATTAACTTCTAGGCTCTCTGTTCTGTTCTATTGGTCAATGTGTCTACTTTTATGCCAGTACCATGCTGTTTCAATTATTATAGCTTTGTAATATAGTTTAAAACCAGGTAGTGTGATGCCTCCAATTTTGATCTTCTTGCTCATGATTGCCTTGGCTATTTGGGTTTTCTTGTAGTTTAATATGAATTTTAAGATTATTTTTTCTATTTCTATGAGAAATGACATTGGAATTTTGATAGGGATTGCACTGAATTTGTAGATCATCTTGGTTAGTATAGACATTTAAACAATATTAATTCTTCCAATCCATGAATATGGGATATATTTCCATTTATTTGTGTCTTCTATTTTTTTCATCAACATTTTAAAGTTTTTAGTGTACAGGCATTTCATCTTCTTGGTTAAATTTATTCCTATGAATTTTTTTTTCATAGCTATTGCAAATGGGATTGTTCTCTTGATTCTTTTTCCAGATAATTCATTGTTTGTGTATAGAAGTATTATTATAGTGTATATAATATATAAATATTATTTCTATACACTAGGGACTAAAACCATATGATCTTTTTAATGTGATGTGTCACACTTATTGATTCGCATATGTTAAACCATCCTTGTATCCCAGGGATAAATCTTATTTGATCATGGTGGTTGATCGTTCTAATGTGGTGTTGAATTCAGTTTGCTGGTATTTTATTGAGGATTTTTACATCTATGTTCATTAAGAATATTAGCCTGTAATTGGTTTTGTGTTGTTGTTGTTTTTATGTAATGTCCTTGTCTGGCATTGGTATCAAGGTAATGCTGACCCTGTAACAGGAGTTTGGCAGTACTTCCTCCTCTTCAATTTTTTGGAATAATTCGAAAAGGATTAGTATTAGTTCTTCTTTAAATGTTTGGTAGAATTCAGCAGTGAAGCCATCAGGTCTTGGGCTTTTCTTTGATGGGAGACTTTAGATTACCAGTCACCCTCCTTCCTCATTATTGGTCTGTTTAGATATTCTACTTCTTTGTGACTCAGTCTTGGTAGCTTGTATATGTCTAGAAATTTATTCCTTTTTTTCTAGGTTTTCCAATTAGTTGGCATATAATCATTCATAATAGTCTCTTATAACCATTTTTAACTCATGGTGTCAGTTGTAATGTCTTGTCTTTTATTTCTGATTTTATTTATTTGAGCCTTTTCCCTTTTTTTATTGTTTTTTTTTTTTTTTTTTTCTTGGTTAGGCTAGCTAAAGGTTTGTCAATTTTATCTTTTTTTAAAAAAACACATGTTTTTTTGTTTGTTTTTTGGTCTTTCATATTGTTTTTCTAGTCTTGATTTCATTAATTTCTGCTCTGATCTATATTATTTCTTCTATATTATCCTTCTGACAACTTTGGGCTTAGTTTTTTTCTTTTTTCTAGTTCCTTGAGAAGTAATGTTAAGTTGTTCCTTTTTTTTTTTTTTTTTTTTTTTTTTTTTTCTTGGTTAGGCTAGCTAAAGGTTTGTCAATTTTATCTTTTTTTAAAAAAACACATGTTTTTTTGTTTGTTTTTTGGTCTTTCATATTGTTTTTCTAGTCTTGATTTCATTAATTTCTGCTCTGATCTATATTATTTCTTCTATATTATCCTTCTGACAACTTTGGGCTTAGTTTTTTTCTTTTTTCTAGTTCCTTGAGAAGTAATGTTAAGTTGTGTATTTGATATCTGTGTTCTTTTATAGTGTAGGTGTTTGCTGCTATAAACTATCATCTTAGAACTGCTTTTGGTATGTCCCGTAAGTTTGGTATGTTGTGCTTCCATTTTCATTTGTCTAAAGATATCTTTCAATTTCCCTTTTATTTTCTTAATTTATCCATTGGTTGTTCAGGATCATCTTATTTAATTTCCATTCATTTGTGAATTTTTCCTGTTTTGGATTTCCAGTTTCATACCATTGTGGTTGGGGGAAAAAATTGACATGATTTCAGTCTTCTTAAATTTGCTAAGACTTATTTCCCTGGAGAACATTCTGTGTGCACTTGAGAAGAATGTGTTTTCTATAGCTGTTGAATGGAATGCTCTGTGTATGTCTGTTATGTCCATTTGGTATAAAGTGTTATTGAGTCTGATGTTTTCTTATTAATTTTCTATCTGGATGATCTGCCAATTGTTAAAAGTGGGTATTGTAGACCCCTGCTATTACTGTATTATAATCTATCTCTCCCTTGAGATCCTTTAATATTTGTTCTATATATTTAGGTGTTCCAATGTTGAGTACATATATATTTATAGTTGTTTTATCTTCTTGATTAATTGACCCCTTTATCATTACATAATGATCTT